GTCTTTTAAGGGGTGAAACTGCCAGCCTGACACCTAACCTTCTCTCTTTACCACACTTGCCATCGGCTAAAAGAGGTGGTTTATCAGTAGGTCGGCAGGGAGATGGAACCACGGGCGACGTGAGTGGTTAAAGTGCATTCCAACACTGAGCCACCAACCAGAACTAAGTGATTCTAAATGCCGGATAGCCATTTCACTCGTCTGAGGCTGAGCTCAACAGCGGTGTACTCTGCTCTGTTTAACTCAGCTCCTACTGTATTTCTCCCTGTTTTGTTCAAATTTTACAGGATTTCATTATGAGCTGATATTGGTTAGAGAACCATTGGAAAACCAACTGGGAGAACTGCACAGCTGTTTCGTCCTAGTTTGGGACTCCTCTTCAGTACACACCAACCGACAACGGGTCGAAACCAGAACCTTCCGGTTACGTTTTTTTTCGGATTTACAGCTTGATTCCACACTGTATTTTCGGTACAAGTATGGAATTTTCAGCGTGGATATCGGTAGCCCAAATTTTGCAGGCCAACCATAGATATCAGGTGTGCTTCGGTGCGGGCTCGAACCCCGAACCATGTGCATGGTCGGCGAGAGTCCTAACTACTGTGCCACCGACGCACAAAGCGAGCTCGTAGACCATTGAGCCACTGGGACCCGATCCAAAGGCTAGTCCATGACATAGCGCGCCCACTTCACAATGTCTTCTTCGATGAGTCAATGCCTCACTTTCAACCTGCTCTACCCTACTGGTCACGGCTTCCCACTAAAACTCCAGGTTAACTGTCTGAATAGGGCTAGTCGCTAGTGAGCATCAGATTAATTTTCATGTGTCCTCCAACCAATCAAACAGAATCCCTACAAAATCAATACTTGAAAACTTATTAATTTAACTAATTACATCATCACAGACTTATTTTACTTATATTTTCTACCAGTAACTTATTGTTAGTAGGATAAAAGTATGTCTGAATTCTTTTTTGCAATCAATATATTTTCGTATTGTTTAAGTTGTAGGAGATTGGTTCCCATTGCATGAGAGCTTTGGCTACTGTTGGTGACATCATGATGGCCACTCCCTCGATGTGCTCGTGGTTGTCCTCTGGGTGACCGGAATAGATAGTTGGTAGTTGGCACCTTCCACATCCGTTCCATCTGCTCTCGCAGATTCCCAACACTTGTATTCCATATCTTCTCATTTCTGCGGCTACCTGGGCAGTCCTTCCAGCTTCGTACATTGTAAGAACATTCCACGTCCCCATCCTTACTTTTGCTTTCATCGAGAATCAGGAAGGCGAGAAACATATTCATCAACCTGAAACCAATCTGGAAATCTCCGTCACTCACTCAGCCAGTATTAACAACAAAATCCAATGGGATTTTCAATACAAACGTCAAGTCAGTCAGTTCTCCTATACGGATCAGAAACTTGGCGGGCGGGTCAAAAAGAATATTTTCAACAACCTGTTGCAGACCTTTATCAACAACTGTCTTCGCTGGCTCTTTACTGAAGATCAGATGGCCGGGTCAGAAAGAATCACCAACAAGAAACTATGGGAAGAAACAAAACAAGAACCAATCGCCAACCAACAAATATGCAGGAGAAAGTGAAGATGGATGGATTGGACACTCGCTCGCTGAGGAGGTCGCTGCGTGACATCGCGCATCAGGCGTTAGGAGATCGTATGAAGAGGAGTTGAAACAGTACGGACTAACATGGATGCAGGTGAAAAGTACAGCAGGAGGAAGACAGGCGCAAGTGGAGACGTGCAATTGAAGCCCGATGTTCCACTAGGAACCCAAGGGAACAATAATAATAATAAATAATAAGCTGTAGACATTTGAAAAAAACCCCAAGTAATAAAAACCAACTCATATTTGTTTGTTATCTATTGTAGTTCTTTTTGAGTCCCTAGTGGAGCACATATGGTTCCAAGTTTTTAGCTTTGAAATTTCAGTAGCTGCGATGCTGTCTTTTAAGGGGTGAAACTGCCAGCCTGACACCTAACCTTCTCTCTTTACCACACTTGCCATCGGCTAAAAGAGGTGGTTTATCAGTAGGTCGGCAGGGAGATGGAACCACTGGCGACGTGAGTGGTTGAAGTGCATTCCAACACTGAGCCACCAACCAGAACTAAGTGATTCTAAATGCCGGATAGCCATTTCACTCGTCTGAGGCTGAGCTCAACAGCGGTGTACTCTGCTCTGTTTAACTCAGCTCCTACTGTATTTCTCCCTGTTTTGTTCAAATTTTACAGGATTTCATTATGAGCTGATATTGGTTAGAGAACCATTGGAAAACCAACTGGGAGAACTGCACAGCTGTTTCGTCCTAGTTTGGGACTCCTCTTCAGTACACACCAACCGACAACGGGTCGAAACCAGAACCTTCCGGTTACGTTTTTTTTCGGATTTACAGCTTGATTCCACACTGTATTTTCGGTACAAGTATGGAATTTTCAGCGTGGATATCGGTAGCCCAAATTTTGCAGGCCAACCATAGATATCAGGTGTGCTTCGGTGCGGGCTCGAACCCCGAACCATGTGCATGGTCGGCGAGAGTCCTAACTACTGTGCCACCGACGCACAAAGCGAGCTCGTAGACCATTGAGCCACTGGGACCCGATCCAAAGGCTAGTCCATGACATAGCGCGCCCACTTCACAATGTCTTCTTCGATGAGTCAATGCCTCACTTTCAACCTGCTCTACCCTACTGGTCACGGCTTCCCACTAAAACTCCAGGTTAACTGTCTGAATAGGGCTAGTCGCTAGTGAGCATCAGATTAATTTTCATGTGTCCTCCAACCAATCAAACAGAATCCCTACAAAATCAATACTTGAAAACTTATTAATTTAACTAATTACATCATCACAGACTTATTTTACTTATATTTTCTACCAGTAACTTATTGTTAGTAGGATAAAAGTATGTCTGAATTCTTTTTTGCAATCAATATATTTTCGTATTGTTTAAGTTGTAGGAGATTGGTTCCCATTGCATGAGAGCTTTGGCTACTGTTGGTGACATCATGATGGCCACTCCCTCGATGTGCTCGTGGTTGTCCTCTGGGTGACCGGAATAGATAGTTGGTAGTTGGCACCTTCCACATCCGTTCCATCTGCTCTCGCAGATTCCCAACACTTGTATTCCATATCTTCTCATTTCTGCGGCTACCTGGGCAGTCCTTCCAGCTTCGTACATTGTAAGAACATTCCACGTCCCCATCCTTACTTTTGCTTTCATCGAGAATCAGGAAGGCGAGAAACATATTCATCAACCTGAAACCAATCTGGAAATCTCCGTCACTCACTCAGCCAGTATTAACAACAAAATCCAATGGGATTTTCAATACAAACGTCAAGTCAGTCAGTTCTCCTATACGGATCAGAAACTTGGCGGGCGGGTCAAAAAGAATATTTTCAACAACCTGTTGCAGACCTTTATCAACAACTGTCTTCGCTGGCTCTTTACTGAAGATCAGATGGCCGGGTCAGAAAGAATCACCAACAAGAAACTATGGGAAGAAACAAAACAAGAACCAATCGCCAACCAACAAATATGCAGGAGAAAGTGAAGATGGATGGATTGGACACTCGCTCGCTGAGGAGGTCGCTGCGTGACATCGCGCATCAGGCGTTAGGAGATCGTATGAAGAGGAGTTGAAACAGTACGGACTAACATGGATGCAGGTGAAAAGTACAGCAGGAGGAAGACAGGCGCAAGTGGAGACGTGCAATTGAAGCCCGATGTTCCACTAGGAACCCAAGGGAACAATAATAATAATAAATAATAAGCTGTAGACATTTGAAAAAAACCCCAAGTAATAAAAACCAACTCATATTTGTTTGTTATCTATTGTAGTTCTTTTTGAGTCCCTAGTGGAGCACATATGGTTCCAAGTTTTTAGCTTTGAAATTTCAGTAGCTGCGATGCTGTCTTTTAAGGGGTGAAACTGCCAGCCTGACACCTAACCTTCTCTCTTTACCACACTTGCCATCGGCTAAAAGAGGTGGTTTATCAGTAGGTCGGCAGGGAGATGGAACCACTGGCGACGTGAGTGGTTGAAGTGCATTCCAACACTGAGCCACCAACCAGAACTAAGTGATTCTAAATGCCGGATAGCCATTTCACTCGTCTGAGGCTGAGCTCAACAGCGGTGTACTCTGCTCTGTTTAACTCAGCTCCTACTGTATTTCTCCCTGTTTTGTTCAAATTTTACAGGATTTCATTATGAGCTGATATTGGTTAGAGAACCATTGGAAAACCAACTGGGAGAACTGCACAGCTGTTTCGTCCCAGTTTGGGAGTCTTCATCAGTTCGCATCCCCCGACAGAGTTTGAGACCAGGACCTTCTGGTTACAAGGCCAGCGAGCTCGTAGACCATTAAGCCACTGGGACCCGATCCAATGGCCAGCCAGTGCGTGAATTCTAACTTCTGCCAATTCACGACATAGCGCGACACCTAGCCACTGTCTTCGTGGCGAGTATTTGTCCTCACACCCGACCTGATGCACCCTACTGGTCACGACTTCTCACTAGAACCCCAGGTAACTATCTATCTGAATAGGTCAAATCGCTAGTGAGCATCTCATTGACATTCAAGCGTTGGTTTGTAAGGATTTGGTTGATTGGTTACAGGATTTCATCATGAACTGATTTTGTTTTATTCTTTCTTCTATTAACCTCTGAATGCTATTCACAACTCAATTTTTATCAATGTCACTAATAAAACGACTATTAAAAGAATCAAATAGGATAGACTGAAATGTGTATAACGTGACAGAGTACAAATGAAAGTATGAAAGTCTTAAAAAAAAAAATAAATGTTTTCACAAGCAAACAAACAAACAAACAACTTTGTTAATGCCTCGTTGACTTCATCAGTTAACAATGCGTAATCTGTTTACAAAAACACTCACTATTCATTTCCTGAAATACAAAATAATAATAATAAATACGCTTCAAAAATAAAACAAACAAAAACTTTGTGTCAATCAACTTACTTGTTTATCTGACAAATATTCAGAATTTTGACTAAGTGCTTCAAAGGCTGTTGGTGATCTTAAAGGTGGTGGATCTGTAATCAGTGAAAGAAATAGAAAGAAGAAAACTATGCATATTTTTTTCTTATCAGCGACACTGCTTGAAGAAAAATATTACTAGTCTTTTGAAGGAAATGAGCACTATTGAAAAAAAAACTCTGAGGAATGAACTGAATTGCAGAATTTTAATCAAATAACCAGTTTTTTTTTGTTAAACTCTCTACAACTCACTTAACAATGAGGATTAACACTGCGATTGAATTCACCCCAGTATTCACTGAAATTCCAGTTTGCACAAAAAAACTATTCGTGTTCAAGTGACCTAATCATGAATCTATCACCCAAAAAATATGCTGAATAAAATGAAGATAGACTGGAAATACTCTGAGGAAACTGTTAAATGACATTATGTATCAGGTTGTTGAGTGGCACGTAAATGGGAAACGAGGAGTAGGTGAGTGAGTCCGAGGGTAAGGTGGAGGAGATTTTGTGAGGAAAAGATGGAAGCTTATAGGCAATACTGGAATTAGTTATGCAAGACTGAAGACAACAGAGTGCAGTAGAAATGTGCTGTTGAAGCAGTTTTTTGCATTCGGAACACCAGGGAATAATAATAACAGTAATAATATAAACTATAACAATCTGAAGTGTTGGTTGGCAGGGATTTGATTTGATTGATTACGAGATTTCATTATAAACTGGCATCGGTTGTAGAACCATTGCAAAACAAACAGGGAAGTAGTGGACAGCTCCTCCGTCCTAGTGCTCGGGTCTCTTAATCACTACGCACTCAGTGGGTTTCAAACCCAGGACCTTCTGGTTACAAGGCGAGCATTAAGTCACTGGAATCCAATCCAACAGCCCATGAATTCTAACTTCTGCTGATTCACAATATAACGCAACCAGCAGAGTGGAGCAGGTTGGACCTGGGAAGAATACTCGCCGATGACATTGGCTGGTGGTCACGGTATATCATGAATTGGAAGAAGCTGGAATTCATAGGCTGACCAGTGAATGCAGTCGCAGTGGCTTAATGATCTATAAGCTCACCTTATAACTGAGAGACACCGGGCTCGATTCCTGGTGGATGCGTTCTGACAAAGAGTCCAAAACTAGGACGAAACAGCTGTCTAGTACTCCCAGGTTTTCTAGTGGTCTTCTAAACGATGTCAGCTCATCGTGAAATCGTATAACAACTTTACATTGAACAATCAGTTTGAACACAGAACTCGTGTTCAACCTTGTGTTACCATATATATATAATTTCTTTGATTATAGCTTGATTCAACACCATATTTTTGATACACGTATGAAATTTTCAGCATGTGATATCGGTAGCCCAAATTCTGCAGGCCAACCATAGATATCAGGTGTGCGTTGGCAGGGGAGCGAACCGCGGACCATGTGCATGGTCGGCGGGAGTCCTAACCGCTGTACCACCGATGCCACATATATATAGGTGAGAATTGATGAAACTGTCAAGCAGATATGAGCAAAAATTTAACTTTACACCTAGACTACGGAATAATAATCATAAAAATATTAAAGTTATCTACCGTTTTTCTACTAACCTTAATTTTACCTTACGAGAACTCATCTTCTGCATCTAGGTCAAGCCGTCAGAATCTACCGGAAGAAGCACGTTCAAACGCTTTCCCTACCTTGACCACCACTGGCTGATTATAATAATCTGACCACTGCTCCTTCCCTCTAAGCTTTTTATTACCTATCATTGTTTTAACTACCTTTAATTATCACATAAATTTTCTTCTCAATCTTAGCATAATCAGTGTTCAGAAGCATCTCATGTAACAAGCATCTTTCTAAAAACTATTGTAAATTCAATGGAAAATTTGTCATCTTTGAAACAAACCGAGTTAACTCAATGGATGTTTAAACGCGTAATTTAGCGATCCCATTGAAAAAAAAGATTTACTATTCTTAACCAGCAGCAACAAACACCAGCCACCATCAACGAGAGAAATTTGAAGCAAATCAATTCTTTTATTCATCTAGCCAGCATCGTTTCAACGACAAGGCGGAACAGATGACAATTTTATAGCCAACAAGGATATGAAAGGCAGCATAAACTTTTATTGATCTGAAATCAGTCTGGAAATCGTCTGCACTAAGCGCAAACAACAAGATTCGGCCTTTTAATACTAATGTCAAGTCATGTTAGTTCTTCTGTATGGTTCGAAGATTTGTATGTCACCAAAAAACCTTTCTCAACAGGATTGCTGAAGACTTTTACGAACGGCTGCCTTTGCTGACTCCATACTGAATATAAGATGACCAGTCAGAAAGGATTAGAAACAAACAAAAAAAACTCTGACAGTGAATTAACTAAGAACCTATCAGTCAACAAATATCCCGAAAGAAATAGAGACTGTTGAATGGAACCAGAATGAGAAACGAGAGTTAAGCGTGAGTTCAAGGATGAATAGCATTGAAAGTCTATATAGGCAATCGTGCAGCCAGTTTGTTCTATTGAAGCCTCATCTTCCAAAAAAAACCTTAAGGGAATAATAATAATAATACCTAAGGGAATGAAAAGAGTACTGTATTAAGTTAGTCAAATGAAAAATAAAATAAATTCACGTGCTCTATATGTGCATCATCATTATTACTTCCCACGACAGTGATATAAAAAAATAATAATAAAACAACACAGTTCTAGCCACTCGAGAGAGAGAGAAGTGAAAGACAACGAAACCTATAAAAAACAAAACATTCAGTCGACATCAACAATAAGAAAACCAGTGGCGTTTATATTTCCCACATAAAAATGATGAAGCGAGAGAAAGACAGAAAACAAACCTTTAACTGGTTGTTGTTGTTGTCATTATTCCTTTTTTTCATATTTCTTTCCATTAACAATCGAAAATAAAGCTATTCTTTGTATGCTTCTTCTCTTAGGGCTCTTCCTTTGAAATAATCAATCAACTCTGTCTAACTCACACTATATAATTATTTACAGAATAATATGTCTATGGGTGAATGAATTAAAACGAAACTATGTTTGTTATTATACAATAGTTGAATACTGTCTAACCACGTACGTGGTCCAGGAGTTTGATTCCCAACCAACGCACTCTTAAACCTGATTTAACCACTGGTATATCCGGTAAGTACTATGCGTCGGTGGAACACAGCTCACCAGCTATGCAGGTGGTCCAGAGTTCGACCCCTGAACCTATGTTCCAACACTAGGAACGCAAAGGAATAAAAAATATGTATATATAATTTTAAAAAATGTCTGGCATAGAGAGGGAAGTTTGAACATGAGGCTAGCAATCCTATCATGTAAAAAGAGAATTACACACCACTGCTATTGAAATTCCAAAGCTTAAAGCGTGAAGCCGTCTGCTCCACTGGGAAAGTAAAGGAAATGAAAAGGAATTCAAGTGTTGGTTTGTAGGAATTTGGTTGATTGGTTACAGGATTTCATTATGAGCTGAAATTATTTAGAGAACCATTGGAAAACCTGGGAGTGCTGGACAGCTGTTTCATCCTAGTTTGGGACTCTCCATCGGTACGCACCCACACCGCGGGGCTCCAACCCAGGACCTTCTGGTTACAAGGCCAGTGAGCACGCAGACCATTAGGCCACTGGGAACCGATCCAATGGCCAGCTAGTGCGTGAATTCTAACTTCTGCTAATTCACGGTATAGCGCAACCGCTAGCCAATGTCTTCGGCGAGTATTTGTCCTCACACCTGACCGGCTGCACCCTACTGGTCACGACTTCTCACTAGAACCCCAGGTAACTATCTATCTGAATAGGTCAAATCGCTAGTAAGTATCTCATTGACATTCAAGTGTTGGTTTGTAAGGTTTGGTTGATTGGTTACAGGATTTCATCATGAGCTGATGCTTCTCTAATTAATGTCAGTTCATGATAAAATCCTATAACCAAATGAAAAGGAAGTTACACTGAAGAAACAAACAATAATTATAATAATAATAACAATAATAAAAGTATTTGAGTATCAATTCCCATCAGTTTAACACATTCACGCATGAAGAAGCATAAAAATAATCTTTGTTTTGGAACTACATAATCAAAAAAGAAATTGTTAGAAATATTTTGATCAGAAGAAGAAGAAGCAAGGAATTAAACCTCTAAACCTTCTTTCAGAAAAACAAACTACTCATCGTTTCTATGTATCTGTCTGTATATGTATGTAGGAAGGTACATTTCTGTTTGACAAGAAACTTGATTGAAATTTTCGATGCGAAGAAATAAAACTAATACACGTATATGTATATGTATATATATATATATATATGTGGATGGATATATGTAGCGCGTGATCTAATCCACCATGGATTTAATTATTTCAATCTTCTAAAGCTAAAAAACGCAATTTTTTTATACAGGTAGAAAATCAGACTGGTCTGAACGGACAAAGATTAGAAATAAGAGAAAAGTTGACGTCAAGAATTGCATAAACTAGAAATGAATATTAAAATTTAATTAGGTTTACAAATCTAGTGAATACTAAGCTATACAAAATTAAATGCTTCAAGAAAACTAAATATGATAACAAAATCAGTTAGAGAACCATTGAAAACCAGAACTGGAGCACTGGACAGCTGTTTCATCCTAGTCCTTGTGAATCATCCGTAGTAAGCACCCACTGGGGTAGTAGTTAGAATTTATGTGCCATTGAAACGGCTCTCAGTGGCTAAATGGTATACGAGCTTGCCTTGTTACCGGAAGGTCCTGGGTTCGAACCCCAGTGGATGCTGCAGATGATTCCCAAACCACGATGAAACAGCTGTCCAGTGCTCCCTGGTTTTCAATGGTTCTCTAACTGAAATCAATCCGTAAAAACAAAACTAATCCTTACAAACCAACTATAGAAAGTTATACAATAATAACTTTTACCAATTTTACTTCTAGTGTAACTTGAGAAGACAAAAGCCTGGCAACAGATCGTTTATTAAGGAAATCAACACATATTTGTAGATTTTCATGTACATTGTTATAGATTATTTAAGCAAACAAACACAGTCTTCTGATTGTTTG